TCTGAAGCAATCTGGAGGAATTTGAAGAATTCTGAGAGAATATGAGAGAAATTGGGAGATTCGGAAATAATTTAAAGAAATTTGAGAGAATCTGAAAGAATCTGAGGGAATCTGAAAGAAATTGGAAGATTGGGTAGGAATTGGAAGGAATTTGAGGAAACTTGTGAGAATCTCAGCGAGTTTTGAGGAATTTAGAACAATTTAGAAAAACATGTTTTTAATTTCTCGTAGAGAAATAAGGGTTTTGCAGTTAAGCTCCGCCTTCTTGGCTCACGATGAATAAAAAAAATCATCACAATTGACATAGGGTGGGTGGGCGGGGCTACATTTTGCCTTTTTTTTCTTAATATGTATAGACTTATTTCGACAACAAGAAACTTAAACATCTCTAAAATGGTAAACTTGTGAGAATCTGAGTGAACTTTTGAGGAATTTCGAAGAATTTAGAAAAATCAAAGAGAATATAAATGAACTGGACGAATTTGGAAACATTTTAAAGAATCTGCAGATATCTGAAAGGATCTGTAAGAATCTGAAATGATCTGAATATAATTGACAAATTTAAAAGAATCCTGGTGTCTTTGAAAGCATCTGAAAAATTTCGAAAAAATCTGAAACAATCTGGAAGCATCGAAAACATCCGGAATAATCCAAAAGAATAAAAAAAATCGAAAGAGCCTGAAAGAGACATTCAGAAGAAAATGAAAAAATCTGAAAGCATCTGAAAGAATGGAGAGGAATTTGAGGGAATTAGAGAGAATTTGAGAGAAATCGGGAAATTCGGAAAGAGTCTAAAGGAATTTGAGAGAATCTGAAAAAAATCTCAGGGAATCTGAAAGAAATTGAGAGATTCGGAAGGAATTGGAAATAATTTGGGGAAACTTGTGAGAATCTCAACGAGTTTTAAGGAATTTCGAACAATTTAGAAAAACATGTTTTTATTTTTCTCGTAGGGAAATGAGGATTTTGCAGTTAAGTTCCGCCTTCTTGGCTCACGTTGAATAAAAAAATCATCAGAATTGGGTGGGTGGGCGGGGCTACATTTTGCCTTTTTTTTTCTTAATATGTGTAGACTTATTTCGACAACAAGAAACTTAAACATCTCTAAAATGGTAAACTTGCGAGAATTTAAGCGAACTTTTGAGGAATTTCGAAGAATTTAGAAAAATCCAAGAGAATAAAAAAAACTGGAGGAATTTGGAAGGATTTCAAAGAATCTGAAATGATCTGAATATAATTGAAAAATATGAAAGAATCTTGAGGATTTCTGACCGTGTCTTTGAAAGCATCTGAAAAATTTCGAAAGAATCTGAAACAATCTGGAAGCATCGAAAACATCCGGAATAATCTGAAAGAATAAAAAAATCGAAAGTTTGAAAGAGACATTCAGAAGAAAATGAAAAAATCTGAAAGCATCTGAAAGAATCGAGAGGAATTTGAGGGAATGCGAGAGAATTTGAGAGAAATTCGGAAAGAATCTAAAGGAATTTGAGAGAATGTGAAAAAATCTGAGGGAATCTGAAAAAAATTTGGAGATTCCGAACAAATTGGAAGGAATTTGAGGAAACTTGTGAGAATCTCAGCGAGTTTTGAGGAATTTCGAACAATTAAGAAAAACATGTTTTTAATTTCTCGTAGGGAAATAAGAATTTTGCAGTTAAGTTCCGCCTTCTTGGCTCACATTGAATAAAAAAATCATCAGAATTGAGATAGGGTGGGCGGGCGGGGCTACATTTTGCATTTTTTTTTCTTAATATGTGTAGACTTATTTCGACAACAAGAAACTTAAAACATCTCTAAAATTGTCAGAACTTGTGAGAATCTAAGCGAACTTTTGAGGAACTCGAAAAATTTAGAAAAATCTAAGAGAATTAAAAAACTGGAGGAATTTGGAAGAATTTTAAAGAATCTGCAGATATCTGAAATAATCTGTAAGAACCTGAAATGATCTGAATATAATTGAAAAATTTGAAAGAATCCTGAAGATTCCTGACGGTGTCTTTGAAAGCATCTGAAAAATTTCGAAAAAATCTGAAACAATCTGGAAGCATCGAAAACATCGGGAATAATCCGAAAGAATAAAAAAATCGAAAGAGTCTGAAAAAGACATTCAGAAGAAAATGAAAAAATCTGATCTGAAAGCATCTGAAAGAATCGAGAGGAATTTGAGGGAATCGGAGAGAATTTGAGAGAAATTCGGAAATTCGGAAAGAATCTAAAGGAATTTGGGACAATGTGAAAAAATCTCAGGGAATCTGAAAGAAATTGGGAGATTAGGAAGAAATTAGAAGGAGTTCGAGGAATCTGGTGAGTTTTAAGGAATTTCGAACAATTTAGAAAAACATGTTTTTAATTTGTCGTAGAGAAATAAGGATTTTGCAGTTAAGCTCCGCCTTCTTGGCTCACGATGAATAAAAAAATCATCACAATTGAGATAGGGTGGGTGGGCGGGGCTACATTCTGTCTTTTTTTTTTAATATGTGCAGACTTTTTCGACAACAAGAAACTTAAAACATGTCTAAAATGGTAAATTTTTCAAGGAAATATGGATTTTGCAATTATGGGGCGGAGCCGAATTGCAAAATCGATATTTCCTAATACAAATTTTCCATTTTAAACATGTTTTAAGTGTCTTGTTGTGAAAAGAAGTTTACACATATTAAAACAAAAAGGAAAAGTGTCAGCCCGCCCACCCGCCCTGTCTCAATTGTGACGATTTTTTTTATTCGCCGCTAACCAAGGGGGCGGAGCTTAACTGGAAAAGACTTATCTCTTTACAAGAAATTAAAAACATGTTTTTGAGTATCTTGTAAAAAACAGATACACAGGCAAAATATAAACCCCGCCCACCCACCCCATCTCAATTATAATGATTTTTTTCTTCTTAGAAACTTAAAATACGTTTAAAATGGTAAATTTTTGTAAGAAACTATGGATTTTGCTATCAGGCTCCGCCCATAGGTCTGCCAACGAATGAAAACTTCATTACTATGTAGATCAGGGTTTAATTTTTGGCTTTATTTTTTTCTTAATATACATAGAATTTTTTGAATTTTTTTGAATAACACTCAAAAACGTGTTTTACATGGTAATTTCTTGTAGAGAATAACTTGGCAGTTAAATTCCGCTCCTTCGGCTCTCGACGATTAAAAAAAATCATCAGAATTGAGATAGGGTGGGTGGGTGGGGCTTATATTTATCCTTTTTTCTTAATATACGTAGTCGTCTTATCAGAACAAGAAACTTAAAACATGTTTAAAATGGTAAATTCTTGTAGACAAATATGAATCTTGCAATTAAGCCCCGCCCCTCGATCTGACAACGAATGAAAAATTCATCACAATTGAGAATTGAGATCTTCGCCCCGATGGGTTGGGCCTAATGTTTGGCTTTATTTTTTCCTTAATGTTTATACATATATTAAGGAAAAATACTCAAAAACATGTTTTTAATTTCTCGTAGAGAAATAAAGATTTTGCAGTGTGCTTTTTCTCTTAATATGTGTAGACTTATTTTGAAGAAACTTAAAAATATCTAAAAGGCTAAATTTTTGTAGGAATGAATTTAAACCCTCCACTTTTCTTCTTTCCCTTTAAATACGGCAAAAGTTGAACATCAAAGTTATTATCGACGGCAACTTGGCAACAGAGTTTATAAATAACAATTTTCAGCCTTAAAAGCAACGTCAGCGGGAACAACAATTGCAACGGGAACTTCGACGTCAACAGCAAATTTATAAATCCCACTTTATCCATGTTAATGACGTCATCACAATTTTTTTTATTGATCAAATTAAGAACGAGTCAGCCCATTTTTCTGAAAATGTGAAAATACAAACGTCTTTATTTAATAAGAATTATAATAATCATAATAGTTTTGATCCTCTGTTTTGAGGGGCGAACTCATTCAAATCAAACTAATTTCTACGTGACATTCTTCCGATGGATAAACATAAACACTTTCAAGTTATTTTCTTATCGAAGATAACCTAAGGACGTACAGTAACGGAGTCCATCGGTCAATTTGGTACTTTCATATTTTCTCGATATCTCATAACCCCTAGAGAAGGCCGTAGCTAGGGGAAGGCTAGGGAATGCTGAGCTTCCCCTAGAGCTAGACAAGTTATAATTAACCAAATGTGAATTACAACATCGAAAATCAAAATAAAACGTAGTGTTTTATTCAATAAGCGGAAGTCAGAGCAATAAAAAAGTCTGGACCGTCGGCATTGTGATCCGGTTATTACAACTCGTAGACAACTCTCACGTTTACAGGTTGGAAAAGTGTTTTCGCTATTTGTCTTAAATTACGAGTACCATAAATGATTTTCAGGTAAGTCTTCAGTCGCACCTCTGTTATTACATACGGTAGACGAGATTAAATTGTTTCGTTATTTTATTGTAACAAACGGTTAGCACGTTTATTTGCCTTTGCGCAAATATTAGATCCATAATATTTTTACTTTAGTTTATAATGGTTGCCATAAAAACAATAAAATTCGCAAAATCAAATCTTTTAATTTTTCGAATGAGCTGGAAGTAATCTTCGATCAATTTTTATAGCATATGAAAGCAGTGGGACACTCTGTATAATAATAGATGGTTATCCGCTTCGTGCTAGAATAACGTTGTCACCCTCATCCTTCGCCGCCCCCGCTCATCACAAAGACTTAATTTTCTTCCTCCCTAAACACAAAACTGCCGATTTCCATAAAACAACAATTCCGTCGCATGCACTAACAGTGAATTCTTCGTAAAATAACGTCCGCTCGACCCTAACCTCCAATATTCAATTCGACGTAGCAGCCATACAGAGTGCCAAGCAATTTGCAATTGTACCTTTATGTCCCGTCCTCTCTTTCAACTTCCAACCCTCCAAGACCCGAACACATGCATTGTGCATAAAGTTTCGAACTCTACACCTTTGAATTTATAGTGCTCCTAGTTTATGTAGGGGACGTAAACCGCACCAACTTTTTAATTCGAGCTCTTGTCTTGCAGATTACCTCCGCCTTGGCCAGGAATTAGAAGCTCGAAGAACGGTGGTTGGAATGCCGGTTGCATGTGCTTCCATTGCGCCTCGAAGCTGGTGACCTACAAGTATGGGCTGGCTTTTAACCCTCGTCCTCTTGCTAGCCCTTATCACACTAATGGGTACGTATTGAGGGTTGTCGCTTCTCGTTTATCATTTTTCGCTCGAAAGGTAGCACTTGCGCTTTTCTTTCGTTGTCTTTTAATCTTGCAAAGTGGAAATGCGAAATGCGAGTTCATGGTAGCTCTTACGGTTGCTACAAACGGAGACTGCTAAATGATGCACGTTCATTCTTTATTCAAGTGACAGATTAATTTAGAAAATGCGGGGGGAGGGCAGTAATCGATTTACAACTGGGGGTAATTAAACTGTCATGAGGTGCCGGCACCGTACTGACTGAGCGTCGAAGTGACTGTCAAGCGGCGCTCTCGAGAATTTTTTACTATTTCGACTGGTTAATAATTAATGTGGATTTAAACTTGCCAAATTGCAAAATTGTAACAATTGTGATTAATTTATTTTTGGACGATGTGTGCATGCAGATTTTTTTGTCGAATGCGATATGAATAATCATCTACTGAGCTATGTATAATTCGATTATAAAATATTTGTCAATTCAGTTAACGTTGATAAATGACTGGATAATAAAATTTTGTGTTTTGTTGGCAGATAATATTAAATTTAGTAAGTCGAGCTAAATTTGTTATTTTCCGTTGTCACCTGACTCAATAATCAATGACAATTTATTTATAAAAATTTCATTCTGAACGGCTGCAGTTATGGAGTGTTTAACATGTTTTATTGTCTGTTTTTTGTTGCCTAATAAATAAAACAAATCAATTTGGGAACAGTTTATGTTTCTCATCCCAATCTGTTTGCTAATGAATCATTGGTTGCTTACATTACAATAGTGTGCAATTAATTTCAATCATCGGATACCATAATTGCTGTTTACAGTACAGTTTATTACCTGGTTTGTTGTGATTTATCGACAATTTGTGACTATACACCGTTCAGGATATTTTTAGACAAAGGTAGGCCATGTAAATCTAGTAATTTGGTTGGCAATCAATATGCAAATATCCCTAATGAAAAATTAAATTTATTATTTAGGTTAAGTTGGTTTTTATTTAACGCTTTACCGTTTACATGGTATTCCTAATATAATAACAAAATTTGACGACAATAACACGATGCTTAAAACATGTTCTACATTCCACAAAAAGGCAAAATGTAAGCCCGCCCACCCACCCTGTCGCAATTGTGATTTTTTTTTACTCGCCGTGAACCAAGGGGGCGGATCTTGACTGCAAAATACTTATTTCTTTACAAGAAATAAAAAACATGTTTTTGAGTATCTTGAAAAAAATGCCATGTATATTAAGAAAACCAGGCAAAATATAAACCCCGCCCACCCACCCCATCCCAATTGTGATGATTTCTTTTATTCCAAGTTTAAAATGGTAAATTTGTATAGGCAAAATCGATTTTGCAATTACGCTCCGCCCCCAGGCTCACGACTAATAAAAAAATTCATCACAACTGAAATGGCGGGGCTGATATAGGGTCTGTTTCCTTAATATACGTATAGTCATCTTTTCGCAAATAGAAACTTACAACATGTTTAAAATGGTAAAATTAAATTTCACAAATTTTTACAAGATTAAAAAATCAGTTTTATCTTAACAAGTACCTAGGACCACCCACCCGCCCTTTATTTTCTGAGAGGATACGTGATTTGCCAAAACAAGACTTACGTTAGAAAGTACTAGCCCCGCCCAACCCCCCTTTATTTCCTCAGAGGACAGTACTTGCTAGTACTTCCTAAGATAAATCTTATTTTGGCAAATTACATATCCTCTGAGAAAATAGGGGCGGGTGGGCGGGGCTACTACTTGCTCAGATAAGACTGATTTTGGCAGAGCTCATACACCCTGAGAAAACAGCGGGCGGGTGGGCGGGGCTAGTATTTGCTCAGATAAGATTGATTTTGGCAGAAGTCATACACTCTGAGAAAATAGGGGCTGGTGGGGGGGCTACTACTTGCTCAGATAAGACTGATTTTGGCAGACGTCATACACCCTGAGAAAAGAGCGGGCGGGTGGGCGGGGCTAGTACTTGCGAAGATAAGACTGATTTTAGCAAATGCCATGCCCTCTGAGAAAATTGAGAGAGGGTGCGGTGCGTTCCGTCTGTCTGTCTGTCTATCTGTCTGTCTGTCTGTCTGTCTGTCTGTTTGTCTGTATTCATTTTTATTAGACACATAATCTCCGAAACTACTGGACCGATTGTTGTCAAATTTTGTACATATGTTACAAATATCCTGTAGATGGTTAAATACTAACCAAAATTTGGCTAAGTATCCCCACCAACAATTTGATGACGTCATCTCCAAAATTTATAATTGAAAGTTTTTTTAATTTCATAAAATATGATATTCTTTTTCTTGTGGTGTGTAAATCGGTGTCGAATTTTCACCCTAGACATCCAGAATTTTTAGAAAAAATTTAAAACAGAATATGAATATTTTGCAATATAACGTTGAAACTGCAGAGCCAATTGTCTGGAAATCTTGTAAATATTTTAAAGTTATCGTACTCATAGTAAATCGTTAAGCAAAATTTATTCCTTAACCCCTCCCAAAAAACTGATGACGTCATCTCAAAATTTTACCGAACAAATCCTATCCAAAATGTGCCAAAATCAGTCTTATCTTAGCAAATACTAGCCCCGCCCACCCACCCGTTATTTTCTCAGAGAGCATGGTATTTGCCAAAATCAGTCTTATCTTAGCAAGTACTAACCCCGCCCACCCGCCTGCTATTTTCTCAGAGTATATAGCGTCTGCCAAAATCACTCTTATCTGAGCAAGAACTAGCCCCGCCCACCCGCCCCTATCTTCTCTGAGGATATGTTATTTGCCAAAATAAGACTTATTGTAGCAAGTACTAGCAAGTACTATCCTCTGAGGAAATACAGGGCGGGTGGGCGGCGCTAGTACTTGCTCAGATAAGAGTGATTTTGGCAGACGCCATACCCTCTGAGAAAATAGCGGGCGGGTGGGCGGGGCTAGTACTTGCTAAGACAAGACTGATTTTGACAAATACCATTCTCTGAGAAAATAACGAGCGGGTGGGCGGGGCTAGTATTTGCTCAAATAAGACTGATTTTGGCACATTTTGGACAGGATTTGTTCGGTAAAATTTTGGCAAATGATATATCCTCAGAGAAAATACGAGGCGGGTGGGTGGGGCTAGTACTTGATAAGATAAGATTGATTTTGACTTGTCCGTATACTATTTCTGGTTGACACATTTCTGCCCAACAGAATGGTTTTTTTCTAATATTTTAATAATAAACGTGAAAAATTATTGTTATTCTTATCTTAGTAGATATTAGCTGTTTCGAAGAATTCAAAAGAATCTAGAAGAATCTGAAAGAGTCTGTAGGGATCTGATATGATCTGGGCAAATTTGAAAGAATCTGAAACGACATGAAGGTGAAAAAATCTGAAAGAATCTGAGAGAAGTTAAGACTTTTTCAAATTCTTTAATTTTGTTTACGACTCTTCTTTTCGAATTCTTTGGATTTTTCTCATTCTTTCTTTCGGATTTTTCGGATTCTTTCGAACTTTTTCAGATTCCTTTGAACTTTTCAGATTCTTTCAAAGACACCCATCAGAAATCCTCAAGATTCCTTAAAATTTTTTAGTTCTGTTCAGATTGTTTCAGATCCTTACAAATCATTTCAGATTCCTGCAGACTCATACAGATTTTTCTAGATTCTTTTAGACTTTGCTAGATTCTTCGAGATTTTCTCATTTTCCTTGAAGGAATCTGAGGGAAGCTCGAAAAATCTAGAAGAAACTTGAAGGATCTGAATGATTTTGCAGGACTTTGAAGCAATGTGGGAAAATTTGGAAGCAAATATTATTATTATTACTAAAATCCAGAGAATCCTAGAGAGTCTGAGGAAATCTAACAGAATTTGAGAGATTCGTAAAGAAACTGAAGGAATTTGAAGTAATTTGAAAGAATCTGAGGGAACCTGTGAGAAACTGAGAGAATTTTGAAGAATGGAAAAATCTGGAAGAATCTGAGAGAAGTTAAGATTTTTTCAAATTCTTTAATTTTGTTTACGACTCTTTTTTCGAATTTTTTGGATTTTTTTTTATTCTCTCTTTCGCATTTTTCGGATTCTTTCGAACTTTTTCAGATTCCTTTGAACTTTTCAGATTCTTTCAAAGACACCCATCAGAAATCCTCAAGATTCCTTAAAATTTTTTAGTTCTGTTCAGATTGTTTCAGATCCTTACAAATCATTTCAGATTCCTGCAGACTCATACAGATTTTTCTAGATTCTTTTAGACTTTGCTAGATTCTTCGAGATTTTCTATTTTCCTTGAAGGAATTTGAGGGAAGCTCGAAAAATCTAGAAGAAACTTGAAGGATCTGAATGATTTTGCAGGACTTTGAAGCAATGTGGGAAAATTTGGAAGCAAATATTATTATTATTACTAAAATCCAGAGAATCCTAGAGAGTCTGAGGAAATCTAACAGAATTTAAGAGATTCGTAAAGAAAAAAAAAATGGAGAAATCTGGAAGAATCTGAGAGAAGTTAAAACTTTTTCAAATTCTTTAATTTTGTTTACGACTCTTCTTTTCGAATTTTTTGGATTTTTTTTATTCTCTCTTTCGCATTTTTCGGATTCTTTCGACCTTTTTCAGATTCCTTTGAACTTTTCAGAATCTTTCAAAGACACCCATCAGAAATCCTGAAGATTCTTTAAAATTTTTTAATTCTGTTCAGATTGTTTCAGATCCTTACAAATCCTTTCAGATCCCTGCAGACTCATACAGATTTTTCTAGATTCTTTTAGACTTTGCTAGATTCTTCGAGATTTTCTCATTTTCCTTGAAGGAATCTGAGGGAAGCTCGAAAAATCTAGAAGAAACTTGAAGGATCTGAATGATTTTGCAGGACTTTGAAGCAATGTGGGAAAATTTGAAAGCAAATATTATTATTATTACTAAAATCCAGAGAATCCTAGAGAGTCTGAGGGAATCTAACAGAATTTGAGAGATTCGTAAGGAAACTGAAGGAATTTGAAGTAATTTGAAAGAATCTGAGGGAACCCGTGAGAAACTGAGAGAATTTTGAAGAATTTCGAAAAATCAAATAGAATCTAAAAAACTGGAGGAATCTGGAAGAATTTGGAAGAATCTGACAGGATCTGAAACGATCTGAAAAATTTGAAAGAATCTTAAAAAATTCGATAGGAAACAAACCGGAAGCATGGAACAGCATCCGGAATAATCAGAAAGATTTAAAAAAATTGAAAAAATCTGAAAGAGAGAATCAGGAAGAAAATGAAAGAATCTAAATGCATTTGAAAGAATCTGAAGGAATTTGAGGGAATCTGAGAGAAATTGAGAGTTTGGAAAGAATTTAAAGGAATCTGAGGAAATCTGTGGGAATCTGTGAGAATCTCGAAGAATCTAGAAAAATCTGGAAGAATCTGGAAAATTCTGCATGCATCTGAAAGTATCTGCACGGTTTTAAAACGACCTGAATAGAATTCAAAAATTTGAAAAAATCGTGAAGATTCCTGACGGTGTCTTTGAAAGAATCTGTAAAAATTCGAAAGAATGTGAAACATTCCGAAAGAATCCGAAAAGAAGAATCTTAAAAAAAAAAGGAAAGAATCTGAGGGAATCCAAGATAATCGAGGGAATATGATACTAAGACTCGGAAAGAATTAGGAAGAATCAGAGGGGATCGGAAAGAATCTCAGGAAATCTAGACGAATCTAGGTAAATCTGGGAGAATCTGAGAGAATTTGAGAAAATCTAGAAAAATGTAGAAAAAACTGGAAGAATCTGGAACAGTCTGCAGGGATCTGCAAGGATCGAAAGCGATCTTGAAAAATTCTGAGGAAATCTGAGGGAATCTTCAGGGATATTGAAAGAATTTGAAAGAATATAAAAAAAAACTCTAACAAAGTGTATTTTTTCTAGAAACTTTCGTATTAATTTTTCAACATATTGATGCTAAAATTTATGGAACATTTGAAATTGATATTTTACCGTTGAGACGTTATAAACGAAAAACAATTTTTTCCCGAAATTCAAGATATTAAAATTAATCAAATACGAATTATATTTTCTGACATTTTTGACGTGCTTAATCTTTTTAAAATTTCATTTTTTCAGAAAAACTTTCCATGTCAACTAAAAACGCAAGCACGACAATAATTTTTTTTGACATTAAGCATCTTGGGGGCGGGTGGGCGGTCCTAGTATCGCAGAATTTGTTGGACTGTTCTTCAGAAGCGAGCGAAGTTCTGTCGAAATAACTTTGGACCAATTTTTTCATTTGCAGATAGCACCTTTTTATACAAATTTTTTGTTGTAACAAAATAATGTTCTGCATTTGAAAATTTTGTTGATGAAATTCAGAAATGTTTCAACTTCATGACATGATTTCTATCTAAATAACAATAAATGTGGGTAAATCTTTATTCTCTTGTGTAAAATAGCAGTGTAGTGTTAATTATAAATTCAAATGGATATATACTGATAATTCATTTAAAATTCGGGCAGATATTGGTTTCAGTAAAAAACTTATGAATGCCAGAAATTGCGATTAATATAGTATTAGGTATATCACAAGCAATAAAAGATGTTCCTTTTGATAAATGTATGTGCAAAGTGTCCTCTTTCCCACAACGTACCAATTTACTAAACCCAACATCCCGAAAACGTGCTGCCGGCTCGCGTGACACCAAACTTTTATTCTTCACCACACGTTCCACTCGCTTCCGAACCATTTAGTTGACAACATCGATTCCATCCACTATTTAAACATCGCGCTTCATTAAATACCCCTTTTACGTTATCGCATTCCCACTATCGTGCCCCAACAACCCCAATAAATACCATTGGATGCATTCCAACCTGTCTTTTTATTTCTTTTAGTTTCCCCGGCATTATGGCCCCCATCCAAGCCTGCAACGCTAAAACCCTAGTTCAAACTCACAACTCAAGAGAGCCGTTCCCGTCCAATCCACAAGAGTTTCATCTCAGCGTAAAAACCGCAAGAAAAAATCCACGTACTTATTTTTTGCCGTCTACCATAAGTAACTTATAGCTGAACTTTCCCCCAGTTAGCCGCTTCGTTACAAATCCCCTCCAGCCCCCGAGTTTACCCCCGCAGCTCAAAAACAAGCGCGTATTTCATGCTGAAATATTCACTTTTACACTCATGAATATGCCACCGCCTCCGGCCGTTCGACCGCTAAATGTTGCATTCACGGTGCACGAAACACATTGATTCGACAGAATTTTCCGCCGCCCCCGGCCGCGCCGCCACCGTTAATAATTCGCGAAGGAGTGTTTGAGCGTGGTAATGTTTGTGGATGTTTTCAGCGACCGGACTGCCGTCTCCACAAGGGAGTGCCCACGTGCAGCCGCAAGCGGGCTACCAGAGCACCCCCAGTCCGGGCATATTATTCCCGGGGGGAGGGGGCGGCGTTGGGGGCATCCGGAGGACGCTGTCGGGCTGGAGGGAGTGGAGACGCGCCGACCCGACGCTCATCAACAGCCTGTGGCGCAGCAAGATGGGCAACGGGATCAGGAAGCAGCTAGGTTGGTAGCACTGGGTTGTTCAAACACCACCGAAAAGGCGATCGCCGCCACGTCTACGTCTATGCAAATTTTGATCCGGGGGTGTTTTTTCTTGCTCTTTTTTGGCACGTTTTCCGATTCGGTTGTTGCGAAATCCTGTTGTTTGCTCTGGCCCGAAGACAATCGGTGTCGCCAACTCAAAGTCAAACTCCCTGCCCTCGCCGGCGGCGTAATGAACCGTGCGGCCCCAAAGTAAGTAAACGGTGGATTCCTGAAATTCCGAACTAATTAAAGCCGACTCTGCAATTAAGAGTTTTGTCGCGAGATTTCGCACCCGGGTTGAGCTATTAATTGCCGTTGAAAAATTGGATTAAAACTTTTCCTTCACCGCTCACTAATTGATTCGAAGTGATGATACTCGGGCCGCTTTTTTCGATTGCTAATGACGCGTTCGAGGTCCTTTCAGCGGCTCTAAAGGGACGCCGAAATTTATGACGTCATTAAGGACATTTTCCGCGCGAATTCCTCAAGATTCCTTTGTATTCTTTAAGCATTGTGTAATCAAATGATTGTAAAAACATCTCTTTGTGGCTGTCCCCATTAGGCGGTGCTTTTCCATTCCTCGAATACGGCTTTTATAAATAATCGAGCGTCTGTTTTAGGTCACAATGAAAATAACTGATGAATTCAGGACGAGTTTTATGTGCGGGTTTTATTTATTTATAAAGACTGAGGATTGATTTGCATTTGAATAAATGAGGAGGTGGCAGACGGGCGCCATCTTGAGAGCTTGAGATGCTGGAAATTTATTCATTACTGTTTAATATTTATATTTGCGTGCATGGGACGGGTTATGAATTATTGGAACTTGAGGAAATTACGTTTTTTTATTAAACATTAGAAAAGCCGGATTTGATGGGTTCGTGCTGCTTTAATGGAAGAGCTAATGTTTCCTCGGTACGTCACTTCCTTAAAGCGAAGCCGAAATTTTAAAGCAATCAGATAACAAGTTTTCGTTTCACGTTAGGGTTTATGAAGACACGTCTGTATGCTGTTGCACATAATTTTATTCGCAAAGAAATGTCTCGTCGTGTCATAGCGTAAATATCTGCCGGGCTTGTAATCTCGTGTTCCTTTTATACGCTTTTTCATAAACGATTTCAAAATATTTATGACTAAAGGCGAACTCGTCTCTGGCGAGTTATTAAATTCAAATGTACAAAGGAATCCCAGCCAAAGGGATCGAATTGTTTCAAAACTATTGTACAACTGTTCTCACATTGTTCCAATTATGACTTACTCGTTGTTCTCTATTATAAGTTTATAGTTTCTTTTTCTTTAGTTTCCGAAATACGAGACCGATTTCTTTGGAATTGCAGATGTACTTATAGAATGCCAGCTGAAAAATTCGTGTACCGGCACCATTTTTACTTGGTTTTAATTCACCGCCTACCTTTATATAATATTTTTCATCCCCACCAATAATGGGATGACGTCACTTCACATTTATACATAGGAAATGGATTTTATTTTGTATAAAATAACATAGTCTTACGCGTAACACCTGTAAAAGCTTAAGTTTTCAGTACTCCTCTTTGTCAAAATTTAGAACTTTTTTAAACTACTTTTGAAAATTTCCTACAGATTTTTTAGAAAATTCAAAAATTTTTCGCGTATTTTTTGACAATGTTCCCTAAAATTCAATTTTTCGAGCCCTTCCTTCATGAAAATTTCGACTTTTTTTAGATCTCCTTCGGAAATTATCTAAAGAATAGTTTTTTAGATATCGACCTGTAGAAGTTATTTTCCGAATATTTCCAAACTTTTTCTCCGGGGTTAAAAACATGCTACATTTTTCGAATCATTAGGTACATTGAAATCTAAGTCCTAGAATTTTTTCGGAATTTTTGGACAACTTTTTCAATTTCTCAAGTGTTCAATACTATTCCGTGTGAAAATGCCGACTTTTTCGACCACTTTCGAAAATTATTTAGAGATTTTTTTGTAGATGTAGTATATTTCTAAAACTTTACTCCCAAACACACTGGAAATTTCGAATCATATTCCAGAATTTTTTGTTCATTTTTAGACAACTTTCCAAAAGTTTTTCAGAATCGCCCAACGAAATGTGGAAATATTAGGGATTAAAAAAACACCTTCAAAGCGAATATTTCGAAAATCTTGCTTCCATATCATAAACACGCAATATTTTTCGAATCACCACATCGAGATTTATAGGGCAATATTTTTACAGAAATTTTTGACAACATGTTCAAAATCTCAAGTTTTCAATACTCCTCTTTGTCAAAATTTCGAACTTTTTTAGATCACCTTTGAAAATTTCCTGGAGATTTTTTAGAAAATTCAAAAAATTTTTTCCGAAACGATTATCTCTCTAGAAATTTCGAATCAAATTCCGGCATTTTTTGTGTATTTTTAGGCAATGCTTCACAAAGCTCAAATTTTCTAGTCCCTCCCTCATGAAAATTTCGAAGTTTTTAGATTTCCTTCGAAAATTATGTAAAGAATAGTTTTTTAGATTTCGACCTGCAGAAGTTATTTTCCGTTTTATTTCTTTGAAAATCCTTTCATTTTTCCAGAATCTTCCAATAAAATATGGCTATATTTGGGATTTAAAAAAAATTGTCTCAAAAAGGATATTTCCAAAATTTTTCTCCGGGGCTATAAACATGCTATATTTTTCGAATCACCACACTGAAATCTATGTCCCAGAATTTTTTCGGAATTTTTGGACAACTTTTTCAGTTTCTCAAGTTTTCAATACTCCTACGTGTGAAAATGTCGACTTTTTCGACCACTTTCGAAAATTATTTAGAGATGTTTTTGTAGATGTAGTATATTTCTAAAACTTTACTCCCAGACCTCAACACACTAGAAATTTCGAATCATATTCAAGAATTTTTTGTTTATTTTTAGACAACTTTCCAAAAGTTTTTCAGAATCGCCCAATGAAATATGGACATATTAGGGATTAAAAAAACACCTTCAAAGCGAATATTTCGAAAATCTTGCTTCCATATCATGAACACGCAATATTTTTCGAATCACCACATCGAGATTTATAGAGCAATATTTTTCAGAATTTTTCGACAACATTTTCAAAAGCTCAAGTTTTCAATACTCCTCTTTTTCAAAATTTCGAACTTTTTTAAACCACTTTTGAAAATTTACTACAGATTTTTTAGAAAATTCAAAAATTTTTTCCGAAACGATTATCTCTCTAGAAATTTCGAATCAAATTCCGGCATTTTTTGTGTATTTTTAGGCAATGCTTCACAAAGCTCAAATTTTCTAGTCCCTCCCTCATGAAAATTTCGAAGTTTTTAGATTTCCTTCGAAAATTATGTAAAGAATAGTTTTTTAGATTTCGACCTGCAGAAGTTATTTTCCGTTTCATTTCTTTGAAAACTCCTTTCATTTTTCCAGAATCTTCCAATGAAATATGGCTATATTTGGGATTTAAAAAAAATTGTCTTAAAAAGGATATTTCCAAAATTTTTCTCCGGGGCTATAAACATGCTATATTTTTCGAATCACTACATTGAAATCTATGTCCCAGAATTTTTTCGGAATTTTTGGACAACTTTTTCAGTTTCTCAAGTTTTCAATACTCCTACGTGTGAAAATGTCGACTTTTTCGACCACTTTCGAAAATTATTTAGAGATGTTTTTGTAGATGTAGTATATTTCTAAAACTTTACTCCCAGACCTCAACACACTAGAAATTTCGAATCATATTCCAGAATTTTTTGTTTATTTTTAGACAACTTTCCAAAAGTTTTTCAGAATCGCCCAATGAAATATGGACATATTAGGGATTAAAAAAACACCTTCAAAGCGAATATTTCGAAAATCTTGCTTCCATATCATGAACACGCAATATTTTTCGAATCACCACATCGAGATTTATAGAGCAATATTTTTCAGAATTTTTCGACAACATTTTCAAAAGCTCAAGTTTTCAATACTCCTCTTTTTCAAAATTTCGAACTTTTTTAAACCACTTTTGAAAATTTACTACAGATTTTTTAGAAAATTCAAAAATTTTTTCAGAAACGATTATCTCTCTAGAAATTTCGAATCAAATTCCGGCATTTTTTGTGTACTTTTAGGCAATGCTTCACAAAGCTCAAATTTTCTAGTCCCTCCCTCATGAAAATTTCGAAGTTTTTAGATTTCCTTCGAAAATTATGTAAAGAATAGTTTTTTAGATTTCGATCTGCAGAAGTTATTTTCCGTTTCATTTCTTTGAAAACTCCTTTCATTTTTCCAGAATCTTCCAATGAAATATGGCTATATTTGGGATTTAAAAATAATTGTCTCAAAAAGGATATTTCCAAAATTTTTCTCCGGGGCTATAAACATGCTATATTTTTCGAATCACTACATTGAAATCTATGTCCCAGAATTTTTTCGGAATTTTTGGACAACTTTTTCAGTTTCTCAAGTTTTCAATACTCCTACGTGTGAAAATGTCGACTTTTTCGACCACTTTCGAAAATTATTTAGAGATTTTTTTGTAGATATCGTTTATTTCTAAAACTTTGCTCCCAGACCATAAACACACTACAAATTTCGAATCATATTCCAGGGTCTATTATTCATTTTTAGACAACTTTCCACAAGTTTTTCAGGATCGCCCAATGAAATAGAGAAATATTTGGGATTAAAAAAACACCTTCAAAGCGAATATTTCGGAAATCTTGCTCCGATATCATGAACACGCAATATTTTTCTAATCACCACATCGAGATTTATAGAGCAGTATTTTTTTAGAATTTTTGGACAACATTTTCAAAAACTCCAGTTTTCAATACTCCTCTTTGTCAAAATTTCGAACTTTTTTAAACTACTTTTGAAAATTTCCTACAGATTTTTTTGAAAAATCCAAAAATTTTTCTCCGAGACCACTATCACTTTAGAAATTTCGAATCATATTCCGTAATTTTTTGCGTATTTTGTGACAATGCTTCCCAAAATTCAATGTTTCGAGCCCTTCT